AAAAAAAAAAAAAAAAAAGAAAAGAAAAGAAATAATCTGATACAAAATGGGCACACAATTTGAAAAGGCACTCTACTGAAGAAGATACAGGGATGGCAAATAAGCACATGAAAAGATGTTCACCATAAGTAATGAGGGGAAATGCAAATTAAAAGCACAGTGAGATACCATTCCCCTATCAGACTGAAGAAAAGAAAACACTTGACAACACCAAAGGGAGGTCATAGAGCACTTGGAACTCTCCACTTGATGGTGGAAATGCAGAATGGTATAACTACTCTTAAGAAGAGTTAATCTTTTACTTATCATGAAATCTAGCAATCCCACTTGTAAGCACTTACCCAAGAGTAATGAGCACAAAAACAAATGAACAAAAAAAGTTAATACCCATATACAAATGTTTACATGTCAATGCAAAGCTTCTCACGGTGAGCACCTAGAAAGTGACTAGTGATATTCAGCAATGTATATGAGCACTTTTCTTAGGATGAGTTTGTGAACTTAATTGTCAGTATCCTTCAACTGGTGAAAGGATAATCATTTATGGTATATCCATATTTAATAATGAAAAGGAACAAGCTAGTAGACATGTGACCACATGGTTCAATCTTAAACACGTAATGCTGAGCAATAGAAGCCAGACTCAAAAGGGGGGATATATGGCTTGGCACCTGTAGCTCAGTGAGTACAGTTCTGGCCACTTACACCAGGCTAGCGAGTTGGAGTCCAGCCCAGGCCTGCTAAACAACGACAACAGCAACAAAAAGACAGCTGGGCATTGTGGTGGGCACCTGTAATGTGGTGTTGGGAGGCTGAGGCAAAAGAATTGCTTAAGCTGTGACACCATGAACTCTACTGAGGGCAACATAGTGAGACTCTGTCTCAAACAAACAAAGGTGTATATATACCAGTGCATATTTTGTTAAAATGAAATGAAACTATTTTATTTTAAATTGGACACGAACTTTATGTCCACTTTGTATATATGAGCCAAAAGTACAGGGAAATCAAATAGATGGAGATTGACTACAAAGAGGTAGAGAATTTTAGGGAAGGGTGGAATTGTTCAATGCCTTTTAATTTAATTTAATTTAATCAGAGTCTCAAGCTGTCACCCTAGGTAGAGTTCTGTGGTATCACAGCTCACAGCAACCTCAAACTCTTGGGCTTAAGCTCTTGCCTCAGCCTCCCAAGTAGCTGGGACTACAGGTGCCCACCACAACGCACTGCTATTTTGTTGTTGTTGTTGTTGTTATTGGAGTTGTCATTGTTGTTTTACCTGACCCAGGCTGGATTTGAACCCACCAGCCTCAGTGTATGTGGCCTGTGCCCTACCCACTGAGCTACGGGTGTCACGCTGTTCTATGTCTTGATCGTGATTATTTCATAACATTTAGCTATAATTTCCCATTTTCCCTCTGTGTAACAACTTTATGGGCAACTTTTGAGGTACCCTGTATTATCTAATGAGGCCTTCTGTGTGTGTGTGTGTCCTAAGGGCACATAAGTAAGTCTCAGCCCAGCCATGGGGATCTTATTCTGACAAGGAAAAGAATATTCAACAAATAGAGTATATTGAGCACTGCCAGGGAGGGCAGGGTCAAGTGTGTTGAGCAAGAAGTAGGCACTGAGGATGTCATTGGAAAAGCTGGTTTGAATGTGTGGGTGGGATTTTAGTTTAGTTGAGGGACCACATGAGCATAGCCATGGTGGTGCATAACTGCCAGATAAGCTATTGGACTTTATGGCAGCCAACATCTGTTTTGGAGCAGATCAGCAGAGGCTTGAATGTTCCCAAGAGCCTCTTGTCCCAAAGTGCTTTGGATGCCAAGTCCTTGGATTGATGGAGTTGCTGAGTCTTGAGAGAGGAAGGAAGATGGCATGCAGTGAATGTGTACAGTATGGAAGGGACAGGATCTAGGAAGACTGAAGATCAAGTTTCTGTCTTCTATTTTTAACCCAGATCACTCAGGGTGTCTGCAGGGAATGCAAAACAGAATCCTTCAAAGCAATAAATATGTCTAGATTTGATGAGAACTGTCCCCTCCCTTAAAAATAATTCTAATTTATAGCATGTGTCATTCTAACTTGGGTATCACTCCACATACAGCATCATTAGTAACCACTGGGACTATGATCTGCTTAGAAAATCAGAAATGGTAATAGGTTTGGTTTATACATCTTAAAGTGAATGTACCCTGAAAAGCAATTCATTGTTGAGTTTTGTGCATATGCACTGGTCACTCTAGTCTCTAATGGTGTGACTTACACATCTATATGCATTTACTACCACCTCAACACATTGTTCAAATTAATTGGGAGGGCATTAAACTAAGACAGCAAACCAAAGCCCCAGAGTGAATGATCATAGTCCAGGAAAATAAAACTTAAGACTTAACCAATTAGAAATTGCCAACTAACCTAGAACTTTGGCCAAGGGGAAACTGCCACTAGTCTTTAACTGTGGACTGTCAGCTTCAGTCAAATAATTTTTTTTTGCTTTTGGGAACAGCTTATAAGCATTCTCTCTCAGTAGCCTTGGTGGAGCTCAATCACTTCTGGTCTGTTGCTGTCTGATACATGAATCACTGTCTGCTCAAATAAACTCTTTAAAATTTTAATGTGCCTAAGTTTATCTTTTAATACCATCCTTCTCTGAATAGAGCCACTTCTTTATTTAATTCATACTGCAATTGATAACTTTCTCTACAGCAAGACTCTGAATCCCACTTCCTTCAACCTGAGAGCACTTATAGTTGTCCCTTAGTATCCAGGGGAGAAGGTGTATGTTACTTCCAGTACCCACACAGATACCAAAATCTTTCTATGTTCAAGGCCTTATATAAAATGGTATAGTATTTCTACATAATCTCCTATATACTTTAAATTCTCCCTAGATTATGAAACCTAAACACCTGATAAAATATAAATGATACGTAAATAGTTGTACTGTTTCTATTTGTATTTATTATTATATCATTGCTTTGTTTTACCTCTGAATATTTTCAATCCACTGAAGGTTGAATCCATGGAACCTCCAGATACAGAAGGATGAATAGGCAATATTATCTTTACTTGTGTCAAATATCCTTGCTTTAACCATTCCTCAAAGAGTTTAGTATAGAATCTACATTTGTCACACCTTGATCATTTACTTGGGCAGAATCCAGCTTGTAACAATTCCTCCTAGAAGAACAGGTCTTAATTTGAACTCAGCAAGTGTCACGCCAACCATAAGAAATAGAGTGGGAGGATTATAGCCAGTCAACTGGACTAATTGAAGCTGATGTTCCTTTAGGATTTAAGTCACACACAATCGCTTTTGAGCTTGCAGTCCACTACAACTTAGTTTAAAAGCAGTGACGTTCCCTGGAGAAGGCTGAAGGAGTGCTCCAAAGGCTGAATTTAGCCTAGCCTTCTCCTGACCTCCTTCCACTCTCTAACCTGCAAAGGTAAGTCAGGGTGAATTGCTGGCCAGACATTAGTTTGAGTAGTCCAGGCTGGGGGAAGCTGCTGGGATCTAACAAGTCAATTTCTTGGTTTCAGTGTTAGCGGGGAGAAGAGAAGAGAGGTTATTACATTTTGACTTAAACAAAAGAACTAAATGTCTCCATTCCCTCGATGCTGAAGAGATTGCTTGTCCTGGGACATGGCTACCGGAGGCTTGAAGAATGTTTCCCTAGATCTATTTACTTCAGTGCAGTTACTGTCCTATTCCTAATTCCCTACTTTTCAGTCTATGAATCCTGATGTTATCCTAGTTAAAAATTTAAAGTATTAAACTTTTTGTGTCCTTTTTTTTGGGGGGGGGGCAGGGCTGGGTTTGAACCCGCATATGGGGCCAGTGCCCTACTCCTTTAAGCCACAGGCACTGCCCCTATACATGTTTTTTAATACAAGACACTGCAAATTCTTCATGGAAGCTGGCAGTGGTAATAAACACCTAAGAATGCAGTAGGTATTATATTCTGCAGTTTCATGGTTTGAGCTTAGAAGACTCCCTGTTGGCTGTTTTCAGAAAAACCAGGGACATTGCTTTAGGGCTGAGTTAATTACTTTAGTGCCTCTTCTAGCTGGATCTTTTTTTCCCCTCCATTAATAATGATTACCCATCAGAATGGTTTACTTGAAAATTTCTAAGCAGGAGCTCTTAAATTACTCATTTCTGTTCCTAGTGATCACTGAATATATAGTAATCACATGATCACACTTAATATTCTGATGGTTTTATTAACAAGTATATAATACATATATTGCATACTGTATATAGTATATGAGGACTGTACAGTACAAATTTATGTTCACAGTTTGACATGACAAAATGTCATTACTGAATTCCCATTGGACTACAGAGTAGAAACAGAGAAGGTACATTAAACATTCACATCTTTAGTAAGAAAGATTACCAAAATGTCTCAGTATTTGCAAGTATACTAATGCATGCTAAAAACCTTTACCCATTCAGTCTTCTTAGCTTATAAAATATATTACACTTTATTAAAAATTTCTGCATAGTTTATACAAGTATTAAAGTACTGTAAATGTAATAATCCTGCTATACTTGCAGGTATGGTTTAAGAGATGCTAAGCCGAAAGATTATTTTGACCCTCTAACACTAAGTACATAACAGAAAAAAAAGTGCTAGTATTTGTAAAACAATATTGTTGTAGCCCTCGTTTAATGCATGTAAAATGGCTTTGTAAATGTATTTAGATGAATTTGCAATCAACTTAGAAATTAACCTTGACCAAGAGAATAAAGACAACTCTGAGCAACTTCATGTATGACAGCAATTCCTTCAAGACAACTATATATTTTCAAATCAAATGATCAAATCTTAGATCCTTAAGATTGTCTTTAAAACAATCTAATCAGGAATGATGTGCAGATACATGTAGTATAGGATCAGCAAAATAGTCTTTCAAATTCCACATTAGTGCAATACTGATAGTGCAGATGGGTGTTTAATAAAATATACATATACATATAGAGTTCCCCTGTAATTCTGTTCCAAGGCTCTTGAAACTTCTGTGGATTTAGCAACTCCTTAGCTGAACATAGCTATGCTGCTAACACATTCTCCAAACAAAGCGATTTAGAATGTTAATGCCCATTTATAATGTAGATTCACATTTTAAAGTAATAAAATATGATGGATTCTGATTTAATTCTGACTTCTCAAGGATGTCACCTGGGTATATAACACACAAAATTTACATGACACCAACTTCATGTTTACTTATCATTTTCATCAATGTAAAACATGAAAAGCAATGAAAATCACCATTGATAGTAACATGGCACATCATTAAAACCACATGTTCAAGGGCATCTTGTATTTAAGCTCTTCCACAATAACAGCTAAAAGTGACTAAAGACTAAATTTCTCAACTATCATAGTAAAATACAAATATATATATATAAGAAAAATTTGGTAATGGCCAATTTGCAACAAAAGTATATAGACCAGCATGGGAATAGAGAATGGCTTCTCTGGGTTGTTTTTCCAAAATTGAAATGGATCTTTGCCTCTGACCTGTTATCATTACCTAAGCAAGCTAAACAACGTTAAGAGTCTTTGCAGGGTCTTGCCTATCTTTTGAACATTTAAATATGCCGTAGCATCAAGTTTCATGAGAACTCTTAAAGCTTTCTGTTAACTAAACTTGGACTCAAAGTTGATTCAGAGATCAATTCTGTCCTCTCCCATCCCCTTTCCCCTCTTCAGTACCGGCTGGAACATACACAAACAAGTTCCTTGCCTTCCATCTTGATTCTGTGTGCTGTGGAAGAACCATTTCAAGAAACGAACACTTCGGGATGAATGTGACTAAGCATTTATAATACAGACAATATCTACTTTTCAAAGAGCCATTTTTATCTCAATTCATATCTTAGTTACAAAAACGAAGAAAAAATAGCCCCATCAGGATGTTTTAATGTTCCGAACAAATTCTGCAGTGCTTAAAAACAAAAAAATCAAAACCAAGTGCCAACATAACAAATTTCTCAACTCCATCTCCTTTCAGTTGGTTTACAGGGGTGATGAGCCGGACCTTTCTGGTACACAGTGCCTACAATTTTTATTAACATAGCATCATCAAAGCAAACTCCCCACACAATTCCCAGGCCTCTAGAGTCACTCATTCACTGGTGTTTGAAAAATGCTTAACAATGTATTCCTCCCAGTTAAGGTTGTATTGGATCCTGAGTTGTGGCTGGGATGAATGTTCAAGATTCCATTCTTCTCTCTTCTCCAATCTTTAAGGAGGAATGAAAAGGCATTTATTTATATGCACCTACATTTAACCACTGTCGCCCACTTTCTTCAAATTCAAGACTAACGGCATTTCTATGCATAAATCAATTTTTATTGACAATGACTATGGCGCTCAAAAGCCTGCTTTTGAAAACCTTGCCCCAATAATGGTGATATTTATTTTCAACACAAACACGAGTCATTATTTTCAGTTTGTCCTGATACTTGACAGTGGTAGTAATTGCCAGCTCTACCAGTAAACTTTTGGGAATTTTTGATATATATATAATGTATATATATAGAATCCCTGATCTCTGGTTTCCTGTGTTTTTCAGAAATTCCCAAAATAAAGGTATGTGTGCTTCACAAGTAATCATATTTACAAATAGTGTCACTCAGGGCTTTAATTCAATGAATCTACTAAAGCATTAGCAGATGCTTCTTTATGATATGTGTCATGAACACAAATGACAGCCAGTTTGGCACCTTACAGCTCACACAGAAAAATTTTTGTATAAAAGCTATGTGATTAATTTGATACGGGGAATATAAGTACCACTCAACACTTCCCTGTTTACAACAAAGCTGTTATGCAAGTTGGGTAAAAGAAAGACCATCCAAAAAAATAAAAGAAAGACCATCCATACTCTTACCCAGATTTGTACTGTTACCAAGCAAATATTTTTGTGGAGTCCCCACTATTAATGCCTAATCCTCTCTATTAAGGACAACGTAGGAATGGAGACAGTTGCATGGATGACCCCATTGGTATTTGGCTTTGCAGCAAGGTTCTGCGTGGCTGAACATGCACAAGAGACCAACGCTCTGGAAATGCACTGCACAGCTACCCAAATGTTGAGATCTCACCAACAATCCCTAGCCCAGGAGGAATGGTTGGCTTCCTCCTTTGCCTCCCTGGCTTCCCCTACTCAATGGCCTCCTGCTCCTTTCCAGGCTAGGAAAGCATAGCATCCATCCCTTGAAATAGGAGACACATCACCGACCTAAAAGCTCTGGCTCATCTCCCAGTGATGGCAAAGACCTCCATGTCAGCTGCAGGCACAGAGGAGCGCAAAGAACTTGATTCAGATGAAGTGATAAATCCAGGCTGACAAGATTTGTGAGAACGATGAAAGAGTCGACTCTGCTAGCTTGAAATCTTGCTACACTTCTAGCTAATTGGTGAAAGACACCACCCTTCTTTCTGCTGTCAAGAATAAAACGTGATCACAGGGCACAGAAGTATGAATGTCTCTGGCAAGGACTAGCAGGCTGGATACTGTATTTCTAATACATTTACTTTGACATTCTTTTGAGGAATACATGGAGAAACCAATAACTGGTTACGTTAGTTTACATGTTCCCTTGTTCTCATTACATTAAACGTATCTACAAGAAGGGTTTGCTTAGCATCCCCCCCCAAAAAAAGTGTTCACATTCTTTAGGTCTGACCCGTGGTAAGGAGAGGGAGGATTAGAGAACAGCTACTACTGACCATATGGAAGTTTTGAATGATATAAATTCTGAGATTCAGACCAGCTGAATCCAAATTAAAATGTACATGTAAAAAATGTGTTAGGCGATGGGAGGGAGGACAGAGAGCCAGGTGAGTGGGGGGTCGTGTAGAGGCAGGAGACGGAGGCATTCAGACTAGCATGTGGCGTTTCCTATGCAGGGCAAGATGGTCAGAACGAGAGAAGCTGCGGTCACAGTCTGGACACTGGAAAGGTTTGATTCCAGTGTGTTTTCGGAAATGTCTTGTTAGTTCATCAGACCGCGCAAACTTCCATGTGCAGCCTTCCCATGTACATTTGTAGGGTTTTTCTCCTGCAAAAACGAAAACGAAAATTGTTTGATTTTCCTGTAGACAGTGAAGATATGTGAGCGAGTGCTTAACAAATATTATTTCTAAGATCTGTTCATATATTTGTCCTTCAATAACATGGTGCCTTCTAAATCACTGTAGGCAAGCAAGAAAAAAAATGAATCAACTCTCTTAATGTTTATTTGGCTCTCTGTCCCCCTCCCTAAAAATGGTAGGGAGGATTTTGAGAGTTCCTAAAACATAAAGCTAGGATTTCAACATTCTATTTTCTTGTTTAGTCATAACAATTATGCCCAGTATACTGCTTTAATTCAGAAGTACTAAAAATAAAGTAATTTCTCCCCTGCTGTCCAAAGCTATGTTTTTGCAACCCTTTCCAGTAAGATAAGGATAATTTACAGTTGAGGAACAGAAGACCCTTATGGGGAAATGACAGGGAGAGCCAGTATGAAGGCCCTTAGAAACAAAACTGGTGTTACCGTAGTCTTCCATGTTTAAATCAGTAATGAGGGATAATAACTATTACAAAATAATTCCCATTTAACACCCCTTGTTCTCTAGAAACCTTAGCATTTTAATGAGATATTCAGAATTTGTATCACCTGTTTCACCACAGAGAATACACACAGAAAGTCATCTTTCCCATATCAGAACTGTCATCCTAATAGTCAATGTCTTTTTAACTGTAAGTTTGAAGTTGGTAACACCCACCTCTTGGGTCCCATTAAAGCCTGAGGGATGTTTTTATTAAGTGATCAGGCATTGCTGTTTGAGAGTTCCTCTAAACACAAGGCTGTCACCCTCAGATCTCTCTGTAATCGTATTACCCCAAAGCAAAACAACAGTTGTATGCAGGCTGATTTCCCCTTCGCTTCCCCTGCCACCCCCAGGATTCACTGAGAAACTCCACTTGCAAACTGCCAGACACTTTCCTTCCCTTTTCTCTTCCAAGCCCCAGATTCCTCTCTGCATAAATATTCCAAGCGAGACTCAGAAAAACAATCTTCATTCCAAGTAAGGGAAAATACACACAGAGGTGAAGGCTATCAAACGAAAACGTCACATCTGAGAGTCTGAAGTGAGATGGGCCTTACAGTACATCAGTCAACAGGATTGACTGGTCAAATCGGGCTGGGATAACATTTTTGTGATCTCCTTGAGGCATTTTACTGCCACAGTGTTTAGGAGCATGAAGAACCATTTCACACTGTCTTCCTCCATGTAACCATTTTTATATGGTCCGCTGCTCACTGTCTATATTCAATCCTGGGCAAGATGGAAGATACTCCAAAACAGACATGCCAGCCAATGACATAAACAAAAATCCTCCCAATTCCTTTTCTTTCTTTTAAGGATAATCTTCTATTTTAAATCCATTTTTATTAAACTGCTGCATGTATTCTGTATAAAGAACAGTTCTGTGATCTCATGCATTTGATAATGTACATATATTAAATCAGGGGTCCTCAAACTTTTTAAACAGGGGGCTGGTTCACTGTCCCTCAGACCATTGGAGGGCTGGACGAGTTGGTTGCTAAGCAGGACAGGCAGTGGTGGCAAAAACACCTGGCGGGCCAGATAAATGTCCTAGGTGGGCTGCAGTTTGAGGACGCCTGTATGATAGCTCACAGGAAGGCCTTATCAATTAAAGCACTTTTTCCTGTTCTAGCAGCAAAACTTCCTTTCCCTTGCAGAATACAGAACTGTGATTATGAGGGACCCTGTTACAGGGATTCCTTTGAATCTATTCTAACTTACCAAAACCTTTACCTTTTAAGACTAAATACCTATAGATGATTATAACTCTCAAGATGCCTGAAAAATGGGCTGAGTGCAATGGCTCATGTCTGTAATCTTAACACTCTGGGAGGCCAATTCTGGGAATGCCTGAGCTCAGAGTTCAAGACCAGCATGAGCTAGAGAGAGACCCCGTCTCTAAAACTAGCCAGGCATTGTGGTGGGTGTCTATAGTCCCAGCTACTCAAGAGGCTGAGGCAAGAGGATTGCTTGAGCCTGAGAGTTTGAGGTTGCAGTGAGCTATGTAGGATACCAGGGCACTCCACCGAGGGTGACAAAGTGAGTCTCTTGTCTCTCAAGAAAAAGCCTAAAAAACTTTTATTATAATAACCCGTGAAGGTCAGAACTTCCACCTTTAGTATTCATTTCATTCTAATCCTTCTTAAGAAAAGGGATGAACTGAAACTAGTCCAATACCTGTGTGTGTTCTTCTGTGTGCTTTCAAGTGGGAGCTTTTAGTGTACACCTTGTTGCATCCGTCATAATCACATCTGTGTATCCGCCGCTTCCTCTGGGTATCTGGGGATTCCACAGGTAACGGTCTCTTCCCAGGCTGCACGATGACCGAAGGATGATTCCTACGAAAGCCAATGTTAAATACTAAATGTTGAGAGAAGGCTCTTCCTTTTCTTTGGTTTACTAAAAGCATTAACAATACTGGGCAAAAGAAACAACCAAACTTAAAAAAAAAAAAAAAAAACCCAACAAAGTAAACAGAAAGAAATTAGCTGATCAACCCAAGAAGCACTGCTATATTCATTCAACAAACATTTAGTGGGCACCTACCATCAGCCAGGCACTGTGCTTGGCACCGGAACAAAAGATGAATAAAAACAGGGTTCCTGCCCTTGAGGAGCTCACACTCTAGGGGGAGACAGACATGGAGATAAGTAACGACAGTAAGAAGGTTAGGTGCTGTGCTAGAGGGAGGTGCCAGTGCTAGGGAGGCTCTCAACCTCGGTCTACATTTGCCTCTCCGTGGAGCTTCCTGGGACGAGCCAATGCTGAACACTGTCTCTTTCCACCTGGCTGTCCTCAACTTTATGATTGTTCTTTAGGGAAAAAATGGGAAAGGCCAAGTTCTAAGTCTCAGGCAACAACACTGTAAGATGTACCTGTATGTTATCCTTTACTTAACTGGCACGTAGGTGGAGTCTCTTAGAGACTTGCCAATTCACATTTAATGTTTAAATGCTGGCTCTTTCCAAAAAAAAAAAAAAAAGTTGGCTTTGCTATTTTCACAAACTCTAACCTCACTGTCACTCGCATGCAAGGGAGAACTTCAGCACAGTGTTAGCCACTCACTGACACCGGCACCCCCATGGGGTGCGAGGCATTCTCACTCCCTGATTTCTCGTGGATTTTCTGGGTGGATTTGAAATCAAATCCTATTAAACATCACTACGAGCTTTCTCTTTTTCAGAGGAAAGGTGTGGTGAGTAAAGGCAGGTGAGGAAGTGCTGGGAAAAGTCTGTGAAGTGTTTGCAGGCTTCCCAACTGATTAATATAAGTAATTATAATGTTCTCATCTTCTCTCTCACTTTTCCTAATGACTAGCTACTCCATACATTGCGAACATATACAGTTGGCCGCCCACTGTCACTTTCTCTTTCAAATTTGAATCTATAGCTCCTAAAATGTTCCAAATAACACACGAATGTTCTGTACAGCTGTGTGTGAGGATGTCAAACACTGGTGAAAAGAAAAAAATAAAACAAAATTTCATGAGAGAAATCATTCTAGTTTGTAAGGTTAAAAAAAGAAAGATAATAAAACTTTAGGCTTGGCGTCTATAGCTCAAGTTGCTACAGCACCAGCCACATACACTGGAGCTTGTGGGTTCAAATCCCTGGGCCCGTTGACAACTGCAACCAAAAAATAGCCAGGCGGTTGTGGCGGGCACCTGTACTCCCATCTACTTGGGAGGCTGAGGCAAGAGAATCGCTTAAGCCCAAGAGTTTGAGGTTGCTGTGAGCTGTGACGCCACGGCACTCTACCCAGTGTGACAGCTTAAGACTTTTGTCTCAAAAAAAAAAAACCAAAACATTAAAAAAACTTTAGCTATAAAAAATCAAGAGCGTCCCTAAAAATGAAATTTGCTTTTTTGTCTTGGTAAAAATTTGAATACATACCCCTACCCCTATGTCAATAACTTTTTCAGGAATTCTAAGGCGTGACCAGAAAAAAGAAAAAGGTGGGTTTACATGACCCTACTTCTCAGATTTTATTATGAGCAAAGAAAAACTGTCCATTTTGAGTAACACTTTTCTTTCTTACCCTGATGTCTGGAAGAGGGGTACAGACGGATAAAACAGCCAAGTTTAGATACATGGACAAGTGAACATGAAACAGTGAGGAGGGGGGAAAAAGAACATGAACTTTCATCATGTGTATGTACGCAAACAGAAAATGGAAGTGAGAGGTTTATGCAGATTGAGATTTTATAAGGCTGAATTATTCATTTAAAATCCTTCAGTAAAAAGAAAACCCTATCAGTTCATTTTTAACTTTCAGCTTTAATGTTATCTAATGAAAATGTTTCATCTTCATTAAGAGAATGTCAGGAAATAAAATTCAGGGCAAGAAAATTAATGATTAACTATAAACCCATCTACATCTTTGGGCTTCTGGGAGAGTATCTGTCCCGGACCACTAAGGAAATCCCTCCCAGTGATTGGTCTTAGTGGGGCTGGGGACCTAATAGTTTCTGTGTGGTCATTATAATGCCTTTTTCTGGGTGTTTGTTTTATATGTAAAGGTTATGCTGAAAGGCTGTGGGCTCCAATTTTGAATCCCAGCTCTGTCACTGACAGTGTCTATGACCCTGGGCAAAGAGCTTGTCCTCTGTGTCTCAGCTTTCTCTCTTTAAAATGAGGATGACGACAACAGTGTTGTCAATGTGCACACTGAAGAATAAAGTCTCTTCCGGAGGTGAGTCACTAAATGGCAGCTGTGTATTCCGAGGCTCAGAAATGTCTCAGCCCATTTGGAACTGGGCATCCTACAGTTGTTTAATGTCATGAGGACTTTCTGAGGATGTCCCCAGACCAGAACACCTCTACTTGAGTCACTATCTACCTTGAAAGCAGTGATGCTCAGAGTGGTGAACAGCTCAGCCACGAAGAGCCTGACGGTTCAGGCGGAGGCTGGGTAAGAGCCCTGGGTTCTGTTTTGTCTCCTCACTCCTCATTTTTAAAAAGGTAGTTTGGGATCATTCTAACCGAGACGTTAGAATAGTTTTTAAAAATTAGATACCTGGTCAGTTTTTTGAGTTAAGCTACAATTCGTACACAACTAAATAGGGAAATCCAACCCTCAAGCTTTTTGTTCTAAATATGGTTTCATACATGTCAATATATAACCGAGTTTTGGAATTTGATCTACCTTTGAGTGCCTGTAAAAATAATTCTGAAGCTCTAACACAATGATCAAGCAAATGGATTTCAAAGCTGTACTTTAAAGTCTGCCTCTGGAAGGGAAGGTTTTCCCAAGGCAAATATTATTGGGGCTGCCTCACTGCAATGGTCCGTGCCTATTTCAAGTGATTCTTTCCTGGCTAGCTGGTTTCCTATGTGGGCTGCTACTGGGCACACTCCAAGACATTACTTAATCACATCTGTGAGAGAATTACTTAAAGAGTACATGTCCCAGTTGTGGCTAATCTGCTGAAATTTTTTTTAAGAACAAAATGCACTCTTAGGTCAGCACTAAAATAAGCATATTACTCATTAATCATTAAAACTACTGAGCTTGAGATCATCAAAAGAATACTGCTTAAAATAGGAAAGAAAAAAGGACTTTCTTTTGAGCAGAATTCAAAGCATGGAATATTGCCTTCAAATCTTCTATAGGCATGCAGGGGTTGGTGGGGGCACCTTCTTCTGTAATGTTTTGCATTGTAATTCACATTAACCTAGACTTTGGAATGACACTTTTCCAGTCAATGGATGCCTTCCTATGTAGGCACTTGGGTTCATTTACTTTTACAGCATCTTTTTATTTTTATTTAATTTTTTGCAGTTTTTGGCTGGGGCTGGGTTTGAACCGCCACCTCTGGCATATGGGGCCGGCGCCCTACTCCTTTGAGCCACAGGCGCCGCCCATATAGCATCTTTTTAATTGCCTGTGGAAGACTAACTCCAAATGCATGTCATCTTGTTCATGAAAAAGAGACCACTCTGCCTGTAAGATGTGTCCATTTTGTTCAGTCCCTGTTTTCTCTTTCACCTGAGTGCACAGGCAGATGCCACTGGTGAACGAGGGCAAGATGGCAGGATAGCCCTGGTCTCAAAGCAGGAGACCCAGGGGACCCCCTCAGCTGCCGAGGGCGGGATTACAGGTGACGCAGCTAATGTCTCAGCTCCTCAGTTCTTCACTTGCTCTGACTCCCACATGCTTATTTTTGGAGGAATGAAATAATTCCTTCGAAAACACTTGTGGAAGTTTTTTTCTTTTTTTTTGAGGGAGGATGGCACCATGCAATTGTGCAAAGTAAATGTGCTGCTCCCACTGCTCCAGACACTCTGCCCACTAACAAGGCTGGCCACCAATAGTCACTCTCTTTATCTACCAGGGAATACATGACAACAGGGGAAAAAAAAAGACTATGATCTGGTGCAGTGGACAGATTACTCCATGTGCTACTGGGAAGACACCTGCCCGAGCTGAATGCAGATACAACCAGAATACATCTGCAGTCACCAGGAAACAGCTGTTCTAAACAGCTGTTCTAAACAGCAGAGAAACTGTGTCCTGTGCAGAGTTAACTGTGTGAGGCAGAGGGGTGGAGAACACAAGGCAGAAAGGAGGGTGGAACATTTACCCAAGGTGGACGGAGAAAAGGTGATGCAGAAGGACGACAGCAAAGCAGCCCTGCTCAGATGGGAATGCTGCCTGCCTGTGTGCTAGGCAGCCAGCCACTGAGCCAATGCCAAAGCGCCACAACCCAGGACAATTACAACAATTACAATTAACAGTGAAAATAAAGGGCAGAGGAAACAGGTGTAGCAAGGTCATAAAGGTCATAAAAATGTTGGAGAGCAGAGCTGGGACCTTGTCGGCTCCAAAGGCCATCTTCTGAGTAACTACAAACCCAGCATAATCACTGGTAGAAGTCAAGGTTATCCACTATGGCAAATCCATGAATTAATTGTGGGCAGATCACATTAACAGCACATCAGACCTCAAACAAACCAGCACTCAGGTGCTCGGATACCTCGCAACCTTCCTATTAGATGGCAATTGTACACCTCTGTGGGCAGATATGGTTCAAAAGACCAGAGAATAAAAAGTTCTTTCAATGCTGAGCTTCTCCAAGCTACGCAGACAGCTTTCTGTTGCCACCACTGTTGACAGGACTTGTTCTGGAGTGTCTCTCTTGGGCTTGTGGATGGCCTACAGCTTCTGATTAAAGACATTCCCCACAAAGACACAACATGCTAGATTAGAAGTGACAACTAAGAGGACTCTGTCCACATTAAAACTGTTTATGATAGTTTGTTCTCCAAGCTTAAGAAGAGTACCTGAACACCCAATTCAACCTGTGCAAGGATCCTGACTGTGGGAAAACTATTGACACATAACCTGGGAGGATGAAAAAAACAAAAATGATTTTTGCAGTAAGGTGCGAAATCATGGATGACTAATTCACTGAAAACTGGACATAACCTGTCATAATGCTATCAGAGTACAAAGAGCACATTGTTTTTGGAATGATTTTCCCATTTTGACTAGTGGTACTGGCCCACTGCCCAGTGGCTACCACACACTACAAGGTGTTTGTGGCCATCTACACTGTATGACACATTAGCCAATGCTTGTGCTGCCACACCAGGTCCCAAGATACATGCTACTATACAAATGGCAGGTAGACCTAAATATACTTACTCTTGCAACAATGCTTGTGGGGGGGATACTGAGTTCATTAAAGGGGGTGACATTTCTTCAGGAAAATAATCTGTCCTCTGTGGTTCGATCCCAGGTTCTATTTTAATTTTTTTCTGTAATATAGGCTTCTCGTATGATTCAATTACAGGTACTAAAAAATAAAAATAGAAAAGTCACTCTGTGTACAATTTACCAATTATGACTTTTAAGTTTGTTACATAGTTCCTATCTAGAACACTGATGTGTGAGATTTATTTGCCTTTGGCAAAATTATAGCAAGAGTGAATCTGAGGGGGATTCTTGTTTCTCCCCACCATTATTTTGCCAAGCAGCAGCAAATAGTCCAGCAAACTGGACTTCTAAGACACAGCCCCCAAAAGGTTCTTCCTTACAATTTTTGGTAATACCCCTTCAATCCCATAGTCCTCCATCATCAGCTTATACGCAGGGTGGCTTTTCATAGCCATTCGTTATCACCATGATCAAAAAGTTCTTCATTAAATGCCTCTTGCACTAGAACTATGTTGGTATGCAATTAAGCAATATCAAAGTCAAGATATTTTTCCATCCCCAAGTCAACAATAATACAGTAAAAGTAATCAATCATCTGGTGGTATTAAATGGCCTGATTTGGGGGAGAGCTTTTACAACAAAAAAGAGAAAGAAGCAATGCCTTAGACGGATGAGGAATCCTTTTGAAGAGTTCAATAGCCCCTGCCCTGTGCTTCCTCACCACCCATCTGGAGAAGCCCCATCTACTAAGTGGGTGCAGTGGCACAGAAAAGTGGCAGCATTTACCTTGCATGCTACTATTTGAATTTTCCATCTCGTCCGACAAGGAGACCATGAGAGGCTGCTGGAGGTGACTTGTGTACATGAAGGGGACGGGCTGCACTACCACGGGCTGTATGACAGGCAGGATGCCCGGGCTCCGTATTCCATGCCGGGAGAGGGCAGCTGCCATCACTGGCGGCATGGACAGTGGCACGCCGAAGGGCTGCACGCCCGGAGAAGGGGGTGAGTACTTTTTCATCGGCGGGCTAGAAGAAGGCATGCTCAGCCCAGGCGAGGCTCTCCGGTGTGAGGACGGGAACTTCAGTGAGGAAGGAGAATTCCCAGCTGAAGGCGGTGAACTCCGCTTGTTCACTGTGAGGTCCACGGGCTCCATCTGTATTCCAGGCAGGCCTTCTGGGGTCTGAAAGAACTTATCAGACAATGGTGTAGAGTAAATGACCCCATACTTGTTGGGCTTCATTGATTCCATGTAATTAGATGGATAGGACTAGAAAAGAAAAAAAGAAGAAAGTGTCAACAGCCGAACAAGTGTATGGAATTAAGACAAAAAGATGTAACAAGGCACTTCTAGCTACATAGCGTTTAAAAAGCGGTTTAGATTGAGATGCATACTGGACTTCAGTGGTTACTATGTCCCAAGGAAAACCTGAAATATAATTATAAGGTGATTCCATGTGAAATGTTAGGGTTGCTACCTGGCAAAATTCTACAACAGGCTATTACCCAAGTCTGTGGGCCTGCATTAGGAATCCGAGCTGGAATTCACCAAGAACCAGCCAAAACAAGTTAACCTCATTGCTTTTCTGATGGGGTTTCTTGATTGACCAGAAATACTCTCTAAGCTTCAGTGCCTTTAACCTCAGCAAGGCATTCATCATCTTTCATGATGTACTTGTGTATAGTAAGGAGAAATGGACGGGGCTACACAAGATACGACCGTGCGATGGGCTACAGCAACTGAGTGACCCAGATCCACGCCTACGGTGGCTGACAGTCTCTGACTGCATGGGATTGTCCTGGTTTCAGCACTGACAGTCCCACATCTCAAGAAACCCCTCCATCTCAGGCAAACCAGAAGGGTGGGTTACCCTAATGCCTTTGTACTAAAGCCCCACCCCACCCCCACTAGGGCAGTGATGTCCCTGGCCCTAACTTGTTCAGTGGTCTTATTCAGAATCTGAATGAAGCTGTGGATGATGGCCTGATTTCCAGATTGGTAAGAAATAGCCAACATGATATGACTCAGCTAAGGAAAACAGTTCTCGAAGCCACTCACACAGCAGCTCAGGTCTGATTTTCACTGCTCTGTACCTTGCCACTCACTCATCAAATGAAGCTGGAGGGCAAATGGTCTGTCTCCTCCCAAATCTAAGATCTGTCCCACAAGTGAACTAATTTATCTTCAAATACCTTTCTCTCTTAGAATATCAGCATAACCTGCGTTAAACACAAATAAAATCATCCTAATTCCACACTATCCTTGAGCATGGAATTCACCTAAATGACTGCTATTCCTTAACTAAAATTTTGTTGTAAAAACATGCTTAATTTTTAAAAGACTAAACATAAGCCGTTTTCTTTCCTCATGGGCATTTTAGGGAAACTGAAATTTTTAGTCATCACATGTCATGCTTACTTGCAGAAAATTACTTATATTTGAATGTTTTACAGTGACAGTGATTAAGTAATACAATGTGTCTCTCTTCCAGCTCTAAAAACCTATGCAATATTTATGATGTGGAGGCAATGCTAACTCAGGATTCGACCAGCACTATTAGTTTCTTGAGCCTCCCTGGCCCCACTAGTGGCTACTACTATAAGTCTAAATAATTGTAGGATGGCAGTGGATTTGACAGGGATTACTACTGAGATCACACTTATTCCTCTCTGGGCCTGGACTGGGTGAATCTCCATCTGCTTATGTATTGGAATCATCTGTGCTGTTTTTTAAAGCATCAGAATACTGGGGCATAGAGGCTCAGCCAGTAAAATTTTTTTCACATAACCATGTTTACCTGGTTTTGATGTCAGTTTCTCATCATTAAGATTGTGTTTTGTTTTCTTCTGTCCTTTCTTTCTCCAAATTGTTATTATTGGTATAACTTCCCAGGACAGGGATTCACATAGCTTGGCACACATCCCACAGGGGGTACATAAGTAGAGTATAGAAAGAACATAACAAGGCTGGGCGCAGTGGCTCATGCCCAGAATCCTAGCATCTGGGAGGCCGAGGCAGGTGGACTGCCTGAGCTCACAAGTTCGAGACCAGCCTGAGCCAGAGCAAGACCTTGTCTCTTGGGCATTGTGGCAGGCACCTTTAGTCCCAGCCACTTCGGAAGCTGAGGCAAGAGAATTGCTTAAGCCCAAGAGTTTGAGGTTGCTATGATATATGACTCCACGGTACTACCTAGGGCAACAAAGTGAGACTGTTGTTAAAAAAAAAAAAGAAAGAAAGAACATAACATACTTTGAAATAGTTGTGTGTTTATTTGAACATGCAAAAAAACCCTGATACTTACTTTTTTTTAACAGTAGTGATACAAGGTTCCCTTTTAAAACTAAATTATGTTAAAAAAAAAAAAAGCAATCCCATAAAAGGCGGCAAGAAGAGATATTACTAATGATTAGAAGTGTGCATAGTATGAAGACACAGTCAACTTGTTCTGGTGATCCTGAAGATCCACCTTCCAGGAGGTTGTAAGGTAATGAGATAACCTATGTGAGGGGCTTGATATAAGCCCTGAAACACCAGTTGTCTCTGGAGCCCCTTCCTGTCCCCCCCCTTTTTTTTTTAATGCAACAGAGTCTCACTATGTCACCCTCAGTAGAGTGCTGTGGTGTCACAGCTCACAGCAACCTCAAACTCCTGGGCTTAAGTGATTCTTTTGCTTCCATTTCTGAAGCAGCTGGAATTACAGGCACCTGCCACAATGCCCGGCTATTTTCTGTTGCAGTTGTCATTGTTGTTTAGCTGGCCCAGGCTGGGTTCAAACCCGCCACCCTTGGTGTATGTGGCTGGCACCGTAATCACTGTGCTATGGGCGCTGAGTGGCAACAATTAAATCTACTTAACACCAAATATTGAAACAAGCATTATTAAAAGCAGCACAAGGTTCATTAACAAAAAATATTATAAATTATATACAATGAAAATTGTGGGAGATAATTAAAGGGGGGAGAAAGATTCCTCCTAGTTCCAAAGTCTAACATGCTTTATATAAATTCTCTGAAGGGCAATAGTTCTGGTACCAGAAGAAAACTTTAGGAGCGGGAGACAGCACTGTTTCCACTCACCAGAATGTAGCTTCCCCTCATTTTCAGCCCCATTCTTCCAAGACCTCCCTATGACCTAGATTTTAATGCCAATAGTTATTGGCAGCTAAATGGGGAGCAAAATGAGGACAATTTCTTTTTTTTTATTGCTGTCATTGCTGGATTTTTCTATCATGGGCTGAGTTTAAGGAAAGCAGGAATTTAGAAACTAGGAAATTCGCAAATTTAGTAATATTCTCAGGTTTCTTAGGCCATTAAGAAAGAGAAAGTGACATACAACAATTACTAGTTTGCTGAAAGTTTGCTCCCAAATGAATGCACCATCCCCTGCAGTGGACGTGCGTTTATTGTAATGTTGGAGGCTAACTACGGGGAGACGACGCATCTAGACACCCAGCTCTGGGTACACAGTTAGCTATTTCCAGTCCACCTGCCTCAAAAGGACAAATGTGGCCCTCCAAACCAGCTCCCTGGTAAATTTAATAGCTGTGTTTACCAGAACCTTCTATAACACAGATTTATTTGGGCTAAGCGCATGAACTACTGCAATCAGCGTGCAATCGGACACAAGGTTTGATCAGGGTGTGTGCCTTGGGTTGGGTACAACCTGGAAACAGTCACATCCCCTCTGTTCTAGACCATTCCTAACTTCTAACAAAGCAATGCAAATAAGCAAGGCTGTACTGGCCTGAAACCCCAAGTGTTGATGAAGCAGAAAATGTGCTTCTGGACATCCAGTGCCCTCTGTGTATACTGCTGACCCCAGGAAACCCTGCGTCCTAGAATGGAGCAGTGTAAAGACCCAGACATCCAGACTTTCCCCGTGCCCCCAGGATGATAATGGGTTTTACTTTTCAAAATAATTTTCTATTAACAAAAAAGTTCTTTCCTTTTGTTGGAACATGCATTCTAATGTTCACACCTCCACACAGTGTGTGTTTATGAGCTGACTGCAGCTTCTCCCTGAAATATAAGACATGGGTGTGGCACAGGTGCTCAATAAATACTTGATGGACGCATGACGTGCATTAACCTGCCCTTGTACATGTCTGTACTAATGACATGGCTAAGGATAATACCAATTCTTTTGAATTTCAAAAAAAAAAAAAAAGAAAAGACTGCAATTGTAACGGTGAAAAAAAAAGACACTGGAGTTTGGAATAGTGACCAAAGCTCTAAATAAATGTTTCATACTAAAGTGAAAGTTGCAATAGTTTCTTATTTTATTAGGAATAGTTTTGGAGTTTTTCCATTACAAAACAGATTAAGGAGATGGTGTGACTCAAGGACATATGGATGAAGTCTCCACTATTTATTAACATGAAAAAATTATGTGTCCGTGACAGGGCAAGTCAGAGGCATCTTCGTCCAAGGGTGGGGTTCCAGCGCAGGAAGGCGTGGTGCATTTATAAACACACACTCTGGAAACAGCAAATGGCTTGCTCCTTTATGCAAACAAAAGTAGAAAGCCCTCTTTCTACCAGGCTCAGAAAAGTCATGAGAAAAGTTTCTGTTAGGACAGAGCAGAGCAAATGACTGACTTCAAGTTCTTCTCGTCTGTAAGGAGTCCTGTTAGATGGCGATTTTCATTTAACACGGAGGAAAAAGGGGAGGAGGAATACACTTTCTTCCAAAATAACCTTTCTACAGGAAATGAATAAAGAATATTTTTAACAATTTGTGGATTTTTCTTTTTACCACTTATTTTTCACTTCTTGGATTAAATCCTTTTATTTTTCAACCTTTTTGGAAACAGTCAAAACAGTGTCTTTAAATCTGGATTTTATGCACACGTTGTTTCATGTTTGACAAAATCTTTTAAAAAGGAGGATCCGGGAGGTGCTGGTGAGTTTTGGCAATTTTGAGGTGTAGAGCGAGTAGCAGAGTTTCAAGGCACAGATGCAGGGAGGGGGTATCTACCCTGCTCTCCATTCTTGCAAATTTTAACAAAGTTCAGGTTTAGCAGAGAACAGTACTAAGGGCTTATTATTTTGCAAAGAAGGAAATGGCACATCCTCACTATCTCTAAACTATAGCAAAATACCAAACAAGCACCTGTTTCTGCTGTGTTATCCCTTTAAACATGGGGTGGGTGATTAGTTACCATAAAATATTTATATTCATTATGTAGAATTAAAAATTTTTACGGATACTCTATACTGCCTTAATGTTTATAGCATTGACTTGAATAGCCAAAATCCTTAACTTTCAAATCAAAGAATGAATTAAAAATAAAAACGATGGGGCATGGTGGTTTGAGCCTGTAATTTCAGCTACTCAGGAGACTGGGTAGGGAGGCCAGGAGTTTGAGATCAGTCTGAGTAACGTAGCAAGACCCCATCTCTACCAAATCATAATAATAAGAAGGAATGATAAATTAGGCTTCATAAACTTTACCTATGAAGGTAGGAAAGATGAAATTTGAAAATTAAAGAGTGGAACAAAAGCTTTTTAGTTAATGGATTTTTAGGGTTTTTTTGAGACAGTCTCACTATGTTGCCCTCGGTAGAGTGCTGCGGCATCATAGCTCACAGCAACTTCCAACTCGTGGGCTTAAGCAATTCTCTTGCCTCAGCCTCCCAAGTAGCTGAGACTACAAGCACCCGCCAAAACAGCCGGCTATTTTTTTGTTGCAGTTGTCATTGTTGGTAAGCTGGCCCAGGCAGGGTTTGAACCCACCAACCTTGGTGCATGTGGCTGGTGCCATAACCAATGTGCTAAGGGCGCAGAGTCTTAGTTAATGTATTTAAGTAAAATAATTGTAACACCCTATTCTTCAAATGTTTCTGTTAACTAAGGTTTTACAAAGTAAGATTTAAAAATCATCATAAGGGGAAGGCGCCTGTGGCTCAGTGGGTAGGGTGCTGGCCCCATATACTGAGGGTGGTGGTTTCGAACCCGGGCCCAGCCAAACTGCAACAAAAAATAGCCAGACATTGTGATGGGCACCTGTAGTCCCAGCTACTTGGGAGGCTGAGACAAGAGAATTGCCTAAGCCCAGGAGTTGGAGGTTGCTGTGAGCTGTGATGCCACAGCACTCTACCGAAGGCAACATAGTGAGACTCTGTCTCAAAAAACAAAAACAAAAACAGAAAACCATCATAAGGACCAATGCTAAACCATTTAAAGTCCCTAAGCATCAGTTGAAGTTGAAAACTAGTGCACACAGACAGGGATTGTTAATTGTAAAAATACTTCCATATATTTTAATTTCACATATTAATACAAGTCACAGCACTGTTAAGTTTAACAGTGACTTCCAGTTCATTTTATTTATTTATTTATTTATTTATTTTTTGTAGAGATAGAGTCTCACTTTGTCACCCTTGGTAGAGTGCCGTAGCATTACAGCTCACAGCAACCTCTAATTCTTGGGCTTAAGCGATTTTCTTGCCTCAGCCTCCCAAGTAGCTGGGACTATAGGCACCCACCACAATGCCCGGCAATTTTTTGGTTGCAGTTTGGCTGGAGCTGGGTTTAAACCTGTCACCCTCAGTACATAGGGCCGGTGCCCTACCCACTGAGCCACAGGCGCCGCCCCCCAATTCATTTTACTTCCTATTTCTTCAGTTAAGTGCATTTCTTCGCAATTGATTACATCGTCCCAACTCAGCAATGTAGATCTTCATTTTAGCTTAAAATTAGGCTCTCAAGCCATATTTTCATGCTTGATTAAAAGCGTTGGAAGTACACTGAATAGTCAAATGCATCACTGGTGACTCTGCATTATTTATAAATCAATCATTCTCCAGTACTAAAACCTATTCAAAGTTCAAAGATAGAATTAATGGGGAAATTGTATCCCTTCATTTTCCTCCAACATGATTGTGTAACAGAAAATGTTGATGAACACAATAACAGCAGTGAGCCACAGTAAAAGTAAATTTATTTTTTTTATTAATAAAATTCTTAAAGCCCAGTTAGCATCATATTTAGATACTCAGTTATCCAGTTTTCATGCTGAAAAGTAAATGTTACTTCCTTGAAGCTTCTGCGACTTAACTTTTCATTACAGATACCGGTAAACACTTCACGGGCTTAGTAGTAATATCCATGGCAACTCAGTTCCAAGGGCCCTGAGTGACCCCTGTGTCTTGTCTAAACATTTCTGGCAGGAACCTCTACAGCCAATGCATAAAGATGATCTAATTTTGCAAGCGTGTCATTACTAACCTTCAGATACACAACTTAGGCCAAGTTTTTCCCATTGTGAATATTTTCCAAGCCCATGGAAGAAAAGAGCAAGACAGAGTGAGAGCGCTGCCTTGTTCAATATCCACCAAACCAGATCCCCTCAGGTCTAAAGCACTCTGCTCTGAAGCCAGATGCTTCTTTTGTCTCCATGCCTCACATCCATGGCACTAGTGCTGTGCCTCATAGACACCTGGAAAAGCACCCAGCAGCCTGGCTCATGGAAGGGCTAGCTCTGCACTGAAATGCTGAAAAGGACAACGAACAGAACTCCCACCCAGCCACAGCCTCTTCCAAGTGAAACGAGATCCTGTCCCTACTGCCAAGTTCATTCTGTTGCTGGCTTTGCTTCTGTCCTCTCCTAGAGAGAGACACAGCTCCACATGGCTGCTGTCAACGGTTTCTAAGCAAATCATTTAATTTTTAACATATTTTTACACACGAAAGGGGTGAGCAGTTTTTGTGAACTTAGTTCTCTCATGACCAGATTCGAGTGTGGCCCAAGTTATACACTGATTGTATCTGGGGCCTTGGGGTTAGGGGCTTAAGAAAGCATGGATCTCATTCATTAAGGGATGCACAGCTGGTAGGAGAATTTTTACCTCTTTAGCCCCTTTTACTAGGAGCTTTGGGAAAGGTTTGCTTATGAAATGCTTGTTAAGTAATGGGTAACTTCAAGGAATAATACAAATTCAATAATGTTATCTCTCTTAGAAAAAATAAGGAAAGGTGTTCAATTGTGGAAAACTTACCACTGAGACAGGGTCCATGGCCTCCTGCTTGACAGGGACTGGGTCAAACATGAGCATTCTTTTAGTTAAACCTTCTAGGGTGCTCTGGTGTTGGGCCTAGAAAACAAAACAAGGTATCCATCTAACTCCTGAGGTTCCTTTAAATACAAACCAGTAAAAATAAAATATAACAGTCTTCACCCCCCTTCTCTACCCAACCCTTAGAACGGCTGGAATTTGTTTCTCTCACCTATGAAAGATACCATTTTACATAATTAAAACCAGATCCCATGGTTATAACCAGTTGAGAGCCAACCAGCATTTCTTTTTCTTTCTTTCTTTTCTTTTTTTTGAGACAGCTGGGTAGAGTGCTGGGGCATCAGGGCTCACAGCAACCTCAGTCTCTTGGGCTCAAGAGATCCTCTTGCCTCAGCCTCCTGAGGAGCTGGGACTATAGGTACTTACCATAATGCCTAGCTAGTTTTTCTATTTTTAGTAGCGATGGTATTTTGCTCAGGCTGGTCTCAAACTTGTGAGCTCAAGCAATCCGCCCACCTTGGCCTCCAGGAGTGTTAGGATTATAGGCGTGAGCCACTGCACCCAGCCTCAACCAGCATTGCTAACCCGAACATAAACTCTGACCTTTATGGAACAATATGTACCAACCCCTTCTCAGCAGAAAAGCTTGCTTACAACTGTTCTGTTACTCACTGGAAGTTCACATTACATGATTGTTAACCTTCTCATTAATTTTTTGAGATGGGATCTTACTATTATCACCCAGGCTGGTCTCAACCTCCTGGGCTCAAGCCATCTGGTTCAGCCTTCAGCCACCACTCTTTGGCTCTTCTTTTTAAATGGGATCATGGTTTATATACTATTAGGTACCTATACTTTCACCTAACAGTTTATGAAAAAATGCTTCTTTTTCATTTTCATTAAGTATGGTACTGTATCATGGAATTCACTGTGCCATGGGATGAAAAGATCAGTTTAGTTAAAACTTATCCTTTCTTACTGGCAGTTAGACTGCTTCTAAATTTTCACTATTATAAAGCAGCAGTGAACCTCTTAGAGCCTTCTCGTACACTCTTCAGTAATTTGTAGGATAAATTTTACAAAGAGGAATTTCTTGGGTGAGAAGTGCATAACTTTGCCAAAGCATTTGCTGTATTATCCAACGAAGATGCTTTGTTATTTTCATTAATAAAATAAAAGCCATCTTCCCAAATTTTGACCACTTAAAAAAAAACTTTGCCAATTTGTTAGTCTCAAAATGGCAAATTATTTTTATCCTAAATTGACTGAGGTTATGTTTTTTTTCATCCCTACTGATCTTTTAGACTTCTTTTGAGAAATACCTGTTCAAATCTGGAGCCTGCCCCCAGCATTTCTGTTTTCTAAGTACTTCTCAATATATGGTGAAAATTAGCCTGTTTTCCTTCTAATCTCTCCTAATTAGGAAATCAGGCTAACGTAAAGGAAAAGTTCACCATGATCCTGTCCTGTCCCTCTGTCTATTTTTCGTTGTTTGTTATCTCTGTTCTCATCTGTATTCTACACTAGCCGACTTCTAATGCTTATTCTCATCAAGCCAACTATTTTCCCACAGGATAAAACATTCAGTTTCCTCAATGTTCAACTGCATTTCCCAAGGTTCCAGCTACTAGATCACAATCCAGCTACTGGACAGATCTTTAGAAACCTATTCCAGGCACTAATTATCCAAAGTGTTCAGTGCTGTGGGTAGAGGTAAGACCTTTATAAATCACTTTGGTTTGAGAGAGGCAAAGTACAAAAGTTCTAGGTTGAGTTCTACATAAAGAAGCTGCAGAACCCTGGGTTCTGGATCGATCCCTGTATTTAAGTATTAAAACCCTCGGCCTCCACCTCCAGGGTAGCGACCGTTTAGTTTGTCACATTCATGCTCTACAGTTTCTATTAAGTAACTTCTTACACAGTTATGGAGTGAGAATACCATGTAGGTCTTGTGCTTCACAACTTCGATGAGGCCTGTTTGGTATCTCGTGCCAGCACATGAATTTCCTCCATAACTCAACATTAGGCCCCGACTTCAAAATTCTACTTCTCTTCATCACAGGACATATAATCTACAAAAACAACTGGATACCATGCTACTCAACTCAACAGTGCTACTATCCTCTTAGGTGTCCCAGAAAGAACAAATTCCCACAGCCAGTGAAAAATAGATGATTTCATAATGAAGGATGAAAACACTTTTGTCTCTTGGGATCTATTATTAACCAGTTCCCAGTCTAGCAGCTGTATGGTCAGACATGATTCTAAAAACTGTTGTCCAGTGCCCCATATTGGACCATAAATAAAAGATGTGAGATCTCTAGCTTACCTCCATGAGGTCAGATAATTTAGCAGCCTTGCCTCACACTGGCTATCCCCCCTGTGGGCCCCCCATGGCCTCCAATTCACCCTTACAGATTCATCTGTTACACTAGTCAGTATCTTGAGGCAAATTTTTCTAAACAAAGGCACTCACATTCTCTGATGCATAAGGAAAGAGCCCAGCCATGGGATAAGTTTCCCATGTGAAATGTAGATATCCTCCCCACCTCCCTTACCTACTTCTGTTCAAGGTCTATCAAATGAGATTACAAACTCACAAACCCCTCCCCCACTCGTTTGCCTTCTAAATTATTTATGTCAACAAATATGTGCATAATTTGTTGTGTGTACAAACATAGTACACACAACACTAACTGTGTTGGTTTCTCCTTCTGGAGCAGGATCTGGTATTTGCCTCTTTGCTAACACATCTAGCCTTAGTGGTCAATCCCCTCACCCTTAATACAACTCAGACTAAATTTAGTTTTAAAGTTAACAGCTGCCTACATCCTGTATGAGGTCTCACAGAGGGCTTTTGTCACCACTGCAAAAGCTTCCACATGAGGCTAGTGAGGTCTCCACACCTTGCCTTATCTTGCACTCTTTACTACCACAAACTGCAGCATAGTAGAATAAATTAAGATGACAGGTTCTCAAGTTCTTTTTAGTTCAAATTCTAACATTTAGCTCTTACAGCTTTCAATGTCTGATGCCCATGGCAATGACAACTGAATCCATTTAGAAATGAATTACACATTAGCCTCCTGAATCTTTTACCATTTTAGGATATTATTGAAACTGTTATTGTCCTTTAATTTTTGTTTATCCAAATTTAAGGATATTGGTGCTTTGCAAGTCTTGCAATCCTAAGAGAAACAAAGTCTAGTATACAAATTGGTCCTGACAAAACCTGATTTTTGTAAAAAACAATCGCACTCAAAATCAAGTGTTGATGAATAGCTATTTCTCATTACAGTATTTAAAATAATGAATGGAAAGGGAATGAAAGGGTTAGAACACCTCATTTTCAATCTCCTCACTAATACATCACTAGAAAACAAAAAAAGTCTACAAAATGCAAATATCAAGATGAACAGAATCAAACTCACCAGTCATCTACACGTCTAGCAGCGCTCTGTCCTTACATTAGTAACTTCTAAAATGCCTTTTGAATGATTATGCATACACTATGGATGGAAGAAGGCCACACAAAGCAAAAGCCTGGAATAGTACATCCTAAATGGGTAATTAGACCCTCCTGGGAGTGGTACGTTGTGGGGGTTGGGGTGGGACAGCTTAATACACACCTGTGTGTTAATTTTGGGGGGGGCGGGGGCTGGGTTTGAACCCACCACCTCTGGTATATGGGGCTGGCGCC